TTGTAAGTCTACCACTGTAACATATATTATAAGTGATCACAAACCCTGCGTCTTATCGTAAGTCTACCACTGTAACATATATTATAAGTGATCACAAACCCTGCGTCTTATTGTAAGTCTACCACTGTAACCTATATTATAAGTGATCACAAACCCTGCGTCTTATTGTAAGTCTGACTATTGTAAACTGAATATCTTACATTCATAAAAGGTCTCAAGTAAATTAGGACATGGGTCGAATGCTTTCGTTGAAAACTGAGGGGGTGGTCTATATTCGTAAGTATTTATTGTAAAGCTCTAAATTGTGTGAAACAGGAGATTTCTCGAAAAGTTATACTTTTTATCACATATTTTTTATGCAAATTAGGTCACGAAATCCCAAAAAATCTTCAAGCACAAATGGCGGCAGTTTAAATTAGAAGTTACTCAACTTAATTGCTATAAGATAACTTACAATATCAAAAAACTACAAAACTGTGATTGGCGACATTGAATGTGTAATTACTTTTGAAGATAAACGGTTTTATTCACTAGTACCTAGTTCCCCATTACAAGTAATTCCTTTAATCGGACCTTTCCTTTGCAATATCTTAACACTGCCAAGTACAGAAATGATGTACCTAAAGGCCTTAAAACTAATTAAGGACACAAGAAAAAGTGTGCCCACTTTTTTTTTTAAGCGACAGGTCACGTGACCTTTTTTGCATAAATTGGTAAAAAAAAATGTGCTTGTCTGACGAATTTTTACGCCGGCTGCCACAAAAGATTCGAAAGATAGACTACCCCCTCAATTTTTCCCTAAATCCTGGTAGAGATCCATGCCTTAATAAACTTCTTTTGGCAGGAGGACCTAAACGAAAGCAATCTCACATTCACATGATAACGAGCTGGGGTAAATCCTCTTCACATTGTGTATCCCGATGGTAAACTTCCTCTTTCGAGTAACTCGGTTCGTTCATCAAGAGTTCCTTCACCCTTAAAGAAGCCACACCAGCAATCTTTTTCTTTTTCATCTGTTCTTTTACCCATGGTCGGTTCACCGTCATCGCAAAATTTAAAAAAGAGGCAATTTGTTACAAAGCCCATAAATGCTATCTGCCCAAATTGCTCTAAGACCATAACAATTTCGTGTCTATTTGATTTTCCGCCAATTCTTTTTTCAGTAACTTCAGACACATCGAAGGTAATTCGAAAAACGGCGAGCACTAGATAAAAAAAATACTCTAAACACCACAACAAAATCACGGCCTTTAAGATAACCCAGGTTAGATTCACACCTTCAGCCCTTTGTTTATGTTTTAAGTATTTGCAGCAAGGTGATTGTGAATATCCTATACAGTCAGACAAATCTTGGATCTTGATGTAATTAAGTATGATTACAATAACGAACATCAAGAAAAAGTCAGTGATGTAAAGTACGAAAATAGCTCTTGCAGCTTCAGGCATATGGCCCAGATCGTCGTAGGCGATAAAAGCACAAAAGCCCGCAACAGAGACACAAAAAGCAGCAAGGAAAATCAAAGTTCTTGGAAGTAGCAACTTTTTAATCTGGCAGATCCGACAAGGTTTCTTCTTCAATTTCTTCCATTTCGGCAGAAGAAGCTTTCCACAGAAGATAAGAAAGATAAATCGGCATATCTCCAAAATACTAACAGTGACTAGCTCAAATATCACGGCGAACATATAGGTAATCCTGCTATTACTATCACTATCGTCACAATGGAAAAAAGAGTGATGAAATGTTTTCACACAATCGAAGGTTTTGTAGCAGCGTATTACTACTCCAGGAACACGAAAAACCATCAAGAGAAAAAGGAGCAATAATCCAGTCCCGCTGATACGGCCACATCTCTGGGGGGGCATTTTTGTTCTCATGCTCGATGTCGTTCTTTGTACCATCTGATTGGGCGTTTCAACTTAACGAATGCTGCGGACAAAACAAGCAGAAATGAAAATCATGTACAGCGGAACCTTGATTTAACGAACCTCTAAAAACGAAGTCCCCTGTATGACGAACGATTTTCTTCAGCCCGGCAAAATTACAATAAAATGTGTGGAACAGAACCTTGATATTTAACGAACCTCGATTTTAAGCTATTTAACGAAATGATAACGAACACAATACAGAAACGCAAACGTAAAGGTAAAATATACCTCGATATAACGAAAAGATGTCAACATATGACCGAAACTAAAAGATAGCTTACTATGAATGCGAAACAGACCAACGAGGATAAAATTTATGTGTACAGTAGTTTTGACGAGTTTTGTTTGCCAGTTCTTGTGTTTCTAGTTCCGTAGCTATTCTCTAAACTGAGACAAAAACTACTTATAAAGATATAATTATAGTTGTGACATAGCTCGCTTTCGCACAATAAAATGCTTTTCCTTTTGGAAAATTATCACTGTGAAATCTAGAATCATTTTTGGTGTTTAAACTGGCGGAAAAGAGGCGAATTTGCGCCAGAGTTTCAAATGCTGTCTAAGTTCTCGCTTGTGTTCATCAATACAACCGCAAGTTCAAAGGTCGTAAATCACGCGAGTACCGTAAATGTTTTCAGCTGTAAAACCTCGCAGTTTGAATTGCCCCAAAATTTTATTTCACAGATTGATAGGGGAAGCATTGCTCTTTCTCTGGGATACCATTTTTCTATTGAAAGCTATGTAGCAGGAAGGGATTTTCGCCGTTGAAAAATGGCAAAATTGATGGTCGCGATAATAGTGATTTAGAGGGTAATTTTGAAAAAATATTAAAAAATCAGATTGAAATCTTTTGAAATTGTAACAACGTTTAGGTACAAAGGAAGGATCATGAAATTGTTTAATATAAGAAAAATCATGGTATTAGTTTCGGTTTCCATTGACGAACCGAGGATATCACGCACGTTTTTCGGTGGTTTGAAAGCCTCTCGAAGGTGAAATTAAAAAAAATTGATTATTTTGGAAAATATAAAGTCAAACGAACTGAGTCTTTCCAAAGGGCTTTGTTGTGACACAGTTTGGGGGATTTCGATTTTTTTCATCTTGCACACCTATCCGTGGTATTTACAGAAAGTCGCTATTACCTTCTTCCTTCCTCCCTCCGTTTTTATTTATGCGCCAATCAAGTTCTCAGGTTGTTTTTGTGTGGGTGTGTCCTAGAAAAATCCCATTTGTAAAAAACCCAAACTCATCGCCAATTTCTTCTTTGTTTTTGTTTTCTTTGATGAACGATGCGATAATCTTGGGCACACCTCCAATTCTCCTACAATGAAAAAAAAAAAGATGAACAAATGGCCTGCGTACGCTAAAAATACGCGGCGAGGCTACCAACCTTCAGGATGAATAGGACTTTGAGAGTGAGTAAATATTTTCGCGGTTGGATTACGAAGGTTTATTCGTTTTGTCAAGGAGAAAATTTTTTCCCTTTTCAGCGTGGGGGATTTTATGCCTGCTTGATCTGTGCCGCAAGTGACCTCTGCAGTCGTACGACCATTGTGCGTTCTATCAAAATTCATTTTATTATTTTATGCCGGTATTATCTTATGGCCATTTATTTTTAGATTGGGCTAATTGACGTCCGATATGAACGAACAGTTAACCGTGATCATGGGTCTAAACACGCCATTTTTTTCCTCCTTTTTTCTTATACATTCAGCAGCTTACTCGTTTTCGAAATTACACGAAAAATGTACGTTTACCATTTTAATACCAACCATATTGTAAAGTATTTGATGATGTAACCAAGTTAAGAATGAATGGAATTTTCAGACTTATTTTTGAGCTGGTAACCCATATGTCATTCGATATTAAGTGATATCAGTATGCAAGGACGCGATTGAAACAGCAATTGTCCAGTGAAACCTGCAAAGTTTTCTTTTTGTAAGTTGCTGTTTCTTGAATTGTTTGTTCTTAAAACGACCCAAGATTCTGGAACTGGTCTTAACTGCGACAACCCGCCAGGTATTACTTTCTAACCGGTTGATTTTTTTTCGAAACTTTCATAAGTGAGCGCTAGTAATCGGGCCGTGCAAAAGATGAATGAGCCAGGAATTCCGGGGGGTTCAACGCCAGTATTGTCAGTGGCTTATTGAGAGCTTCCCGGCCTCCATCCATTTACCTCTATATTAATGTCGGCTGTAGCGGTTACAGGCATTGTCTCATCAGTAGATTATTAGGTTTTTAGCGCACCGTTACAATTCATAGCTAAAGTGATGAAACTGGTTTTACCTGCGAAATAAAAAGCATGCCGTTAGCCAATGTATAGCCCGCATATGCATAGACGACCCATAGACAGGGTAGTGAGCTGGCCAGCTTTACCGCGCAGGGTCAGTTTATGCGTGAATTACTTTCTTGTAAAAATTTTCTCCGCGTCTAAAGTGGTGTATGAAAAGGCATCCTTGCCCACTTTCCGTGTGATTTCGCTGCTCGATCTGAGATCTCGACATGGAGCAATGTTTTGTCATCCACCCCGAGCGTGCGGAGTAGCATCCCACGAGGGAGTTTTAGGAGAATTGGTTTTTTTGTGGGGAGGAATGAAAAACGAGCTCCCCTACAAACGCCTACGTGGGAGGCTAGAGCGTGAGTAACTTGAGCTATCTTACTTATCTTCAACTGTTGCGTAACGTGGAGTTCAAATCAAACTTCTGTAGATGACTCCAAACGGGAATGTTTGCAAAGATTAGCGAAATATATCGCACAGTTAATTTGTCGTCTTCGTGGAAAAAAATGTGATGCGGAGCCCTGTCATGTTCTGATTCTTCTTAGTGCTAGCGGGTGGATTGCACGGTGGAGGATTCCAAACGTTAACTGAGCAAATCTTATCATAAATCAGAACACAAACAGCGGTGCTAAACACTGTGCGCTTTCGTATTTTTATAAACATGACTTTTCGAATGCTATTTAACATACATTTTCAAAAAATGACGAGACTACTACATTCAAAAATTTTTTAAGGATCCTGGAAATGAGATTAAAAATTTAAATTCTTAACAGTAATTAATACAAAAGGCAACAGCTAAATACAACATCACCTTTTCACTGCTGATGTTGCTGGGTATAAACAATGTTTCTTTTATCTTACAGTGATAATCTGTTTTGCCAGATGTTAAGATTTCAAAGTGATCCCACTTAATGTTATGTCCGGTGGCAGTGCTATGGAAGAGCCGAAGAGTGATCATTTTTTTTTACTTTTTTGTTAGGCACTTGAAGTGTTCAGTCTTCCTATCATGGAGCCGTCGCTTAGTTTTACCAATGTAAAAATCATTACAATCCCAAGAACAAGCTTTATAACTGACTTTGGATCTTTGAGAGCGATTAAGGGGCGTCGATAAAACCAGGAACATGGAACATCCCGGAACATTCCGGAACATCCCGGAACATCCCGGAACATGAAAAAATTAAAATATTTTTTTATTTAAAAAAATTAATAAATTAAATAAAAATATTAATAATAATAAATAATAATAATAATAATAATAATAAAAAGAACGATAGATATGAAACAATTTTATAATAACAAAATAAATAACATAACATAACATAATATAAAAGCGAAAAATAAAGAAACAAACAAAGAAAGAAAGAAAGAGAAAAAAACTGGTATCATCTCCGAGTATGACAAAACAATATTTTGTCGCAATGAATTTTTTGTGCGAGTAAGGGTCCATTCAAATGACAGTAATGAGTGAAGGCTTGCTTCTAAATTCAAAATATATTAAAATGGGTCACGAGGAGGAGGCACAAAGCCACCTCTTGTTAATGTTTGCCATGAGGTTTAACGGTCATCAATTTACGGCTTTGCGACCGTAAGTAGAGCTTAGGGGCTCGTCGCTTTGGACTTGGATAATTAAATTAAAGATTCACATTCGCCGTGAATAGTTGCAGTGGCAGTGGTAGCGCAGCGGTAGTTTCTAACTGTTATCAGTTAGCCTGAATTTTAGTCGTCTCCCCGCAAACTCCTCTTGCGACTCGAGGAGACGTCTGAAATATCATGCTGACTGTAAACAGTATAGAAACTACTACGAATGTGAGTATTGTCCACTAAAATCCAAGACGGGAGCCCCTATACTCTTCTTAAGTTCACAGAACCGCCTAGTCTGTATTAAAGTAATCCATGTCAACCTCAAGTGAAGCAAAGCACCTCAAGTAATATATAAGGAGACTATATGTTGGCTTGAAATGAGCTACTTACCGACATGGCTTGACATGAAATACTGCACCGACATTTCAGATCATCGCAGAACCGTAAATGGATAACCGCCAAATGACAAACAATTACAAGAGGTAGCTGTGTGAGGAAAGCTTAAAAAAAAACCCTCCTCGCGACCCATTTTAATATATTTTGAATTTAGAAGCAAGCCTTCACTCATTACTGTCATTTGCATGAACCTTCACTCGCCCAACAAATTTTAATTTGTTGCGACAAAATATTGTTTTCTCATACTCAGCGAGGATACCAGTTTCTTTTTCTTGACTATTTCATTATTTTTCGTTTTTTGTTTTTGTTATTTTACGTTATTATTAATTTTTACAGAAACTATTTTATTATTATTATTTTATTATATATTTTTTTTCGTGAAAATTATTTTTATTTTTTCATGTTCCGGGATGTTCCGGCATGTTCCGGAATGTTCCGGCATGTTCCGGAATGTTCCGGAATGTTCCGTGTTCCGGGTTTTATCGACGGCCGCGATTAAGGTGGTCCTTGCAAAATGTCTCACCGTTTAGAGGTCATTTCCTGTGCTTTTTGATTCAGACAGGAATTGACCTGTGATGATTTCGTGCTATGCCACGCGTTGTTTTGATTTTGAAAAGGATGTTTTTTAAAAAGGATGTTGATGTTTGTTTTTTAAAAAGGATGTTGATATTTAGTAATGGATCAGACTGGTAATGGATAATGATTTACTGGCCCGAAATAACATTGTAACAAGACGCCTAAAGTCGTTTCCGTGGGATGCGTTGGTCTATGGAAGAATAATGGCGTTCTATCTGAATTTGGAAAAATTAGGGAAACCGGGAAGATGTGTCATGTTATGAGCATCGATGAGTAGGTTACCTGTATGGGTTGGTTTAATGTGCTTATGACTGAATTTATAGTAGCCTGCGTGGCAGGCTACTATTTCTTCCCAATCCACATCCCCTTTTTGCTTCCTCCTTATCCCCTACCCCTTTCGACACCTGCTACGCAAGCTAAATTTATAGTTGTCAGTGGTTGCAAGGATGGAGTTGATCTTGTTTTGATCTATCGCTATGTAGTTATTTTCATAGCACGATTTGGATAAGAAAAAGAAGTTATTTTGCATCAAAACAAGGTTTACCCGTGTAACTTAAATTGGAATGTTACCGGAAACAAGTAATGGAGAACATGCGCATAATGCTTTCTGATTAACCTGAACAGGAACTATATCTATAAAGATACATCATATCTTGGTAGTAAGTTGCCACAGGTAAGTTTTTCAAAGAGAAATAAACATTGTAGATTTAGGTTAATGGAACAAAACAAAACAAAACAAAACATCCGCTTGCTTTATCCAGGGTCGATCCCAGGGTTACAAAGTTCGATAAAGTTCCAATGTTTTAATCCAAGATGAAAGATTAATATTCCAAGATGCTCTTGATACGGTTAAAAATTTAAATTAAGGTCTCAAAGTTAACATAGTTCCAATGATTATCCCTGATTCCAAGGTATAATAAGTTTACTAAGGTCCACTCCTGATCCGTGTCCCATCCAGAAGTCCAATCCATGCCTAAAGCGAGTCGTCGATCGACGAGGACAATATTTTCGCGATTTCACCGCCAATCGTCAAGGGTACGAGTTGAAATTTTCGCGATTTAACCTCCTATCGTCAACGTGTTTTCGATAAGAAAAGAAAAAAAAACTGAACTCTAGCTGTGCTCGGCAAAAACTGGCGAACTCCGAATAGAAAAATGTATCGGAAACGACGGCCCGCAACCAGACGCTACTAAAACCTTATGAAAAAGCTAGACCTAAACAAAAAAGAATCATGAAGGAAAGAAATAATTTGGTTTAGGTCGCCTTTCGTGACTTGTCAGTATCCCGAAGGATTTCGCTGGTTAACAAACCATCCTAAAGCACGAGTGGGAAAACTCTAGCGCGACAAATATCGATAAAGATTTTAGGCAATCCTATTGGCTGGCTCTGCAAAGTTGGGTACAACCGAACCGGATTTTTACCGCGGGAGTGCCACAGGCATCCCACGGAAAAAACGGCGGTGTCTGGACGACTGAACGATTTTTTCCTCATAATGTAATGTCATTTGTTCCGATTCTTTCTTTCTAGCGGGTAGATTAAGCTGTGGAGCAAATCTTATTTTTGCCGCTAGTTTTCACGTTGAAAGGTCGTGAAACTGACCTATTTCCTGCATTATTTCCTGGGGTTTTTGCTTCTTTAAATACAGGATTTGATCTCTAGTGCGACGCAGTTTAAGCATTTTGTGGGGGGATGTTCGAGCAACTCGCTCGCTAAACGACGAGGTACCAGGAATCTGATTTACATCTTGGCCTTTATTCTTCTTAATCTTCTTACAACTTCTACTTACTCTAATTCTCTTTACTTCTACTAAACTACTTTTCTCTTTACTTCTGCTACTCTACTTTTCTCTTTACTTCTACTACTCTACTTTTCTCTAGTCTAGTTCAAGTATAGTAGCGGTTTTAATACCCAAAGCTGGACATGTTTGGGTTAGCTGACCGGAAGAGTTTCTATTGTATTTCTTATCGCTAACACTGCAACAGGTTTCCTTTTGTCAGGGAATAGATTATCTATCCTACGCACAGCCGCAGCTGATAAGTACCAAAGAACGAAGGTCAGCTCTAACACCACAAACACGACCACCTGTAACATTCCTAATATGGCAATACCGTAAATCCTCTATTAAGTCCCCCGGGGGGCTTATTTTTTTCAAGTACTTTTGAGGGGGGGGCTTATTTAATTTAGCGAAACGCATCACCTGTAGCAAAAATACCGTAGTAACAGAGAGAGTAGACTTACGTTTTGCACAATTAAAGTCACTGTCAAAAGTATTTAATTCACTTGTTGGATGGAGCCTAAAACCAACAAAAACAAAATCCTTATTCTTCAAAAATGTGCTTTTCGCTTCATATGAAGTTGGAGGTCATGCGACCGAAGACCAAAACCAATATGAACTTCCAGCCTAAATAAACCATAACTGATCGGTCCACGTTAATCGTTAATTTTTTGTGAAGAATAAGGATAGGGGAGAGGGAGGGGAGGGGGGGGCTTGATAGAGAGGGGGGGATTATTAACTTTCCTCCTCTAAAAAGGGGGGGCTTATTTGAGATGGGGGGCTTAATAGAGGATTTACGGTAAGTAAATTCGCGAGCTAAGCATAACTTCAAGTACAAGTAAAAACAAAAGATCAAAACAGGAAAACGGTGCGTGGACAAAAACAAGACTTAATGAAAAAAAAACTAAACTTAAAAGATAAGATAGATCCGTCTTAAAAATAACTTTCAAAATACTTCACAACAATTTTCCTTGCCTCCGAGGCTGGAAGACCATGACGTTCAAATGATGAATTGTACTGGAAAGAATCCGCTTCACTTTTTCAGACTGCGGCATGAATGACAAGACTTGTACACTGAGTGTTTCAAATAACTAAATTATGTTTTATGCTTTCTTTCAGTGCAGTGTTTACTACTGAATATTGTTGCGGCCGATCTGCCTTCAAAAAAATTGTTCAACTTCTACTCACTTCCAGCATCTCTCTGCCGGCTAAGTTTACTTTGTTTTGATTTTGACTTCAACCAGTCACAACGCACGCAAACCGATATCCAGAAATGGTTATAGCCAGGACTGAAAAATAACCGTTATTCGAAATCTGACCGGTTGTTTCAGCTTTGAGGAAGTTCCAAAGTTGATGACAGACTGGATCTTCGTACACGGTTTTTTGCACAATTTATACTTTCATGAGCGTTATAGTCGGCACCATGTAGCAACAATAGGGAACTTAAGGAAAGGCGACGACGACGAGAACGGAAAAAAAGCATTAGGTCGAATTAGGTTAAGATTAGCAAAACAACTACTCAGCTTTCACGCTTTTTGTACATTTCCTCGTCGTCACTGTACGACTACGACGTGAAATTGCCTTATCTCGTGAACACAAGACAATGACTTTCTTTTTCTTTTCCGGAACTTTTATACAGTCTTTTAGAATTCATCTTCAGAAACATTTGTCAACATTTGACAAATTGACGACGTGGAAGCGTGATAAGACGCGCCTTAGGGCATTATCATTTTAACTAATAAAAGTTACACGAAAATGAAAAG